AGGAAAAAAAAAAAAAAAGAAAAAAAAAAAAAGTCCAAAAGCTGAAGGAAAGCTAAAGAAATAATCAGAGGCAAAGTTCAAATGATTTGACATTCCCATGCCATAAAAATACACCAAACTGTCTTTGCTGCAAAGACAACCTAGAACTCCACGGTCCATGCACAGCAGAAAAGTGCCCCCTAACCAGGCTTGCTAGAAAAGTCACAATTTACTGCCTGAATTGTGAACGTTTCCCTCGCCACCACAGGTCTACCGCTCAGCACAGATGAGCAGACAGAGGGCAAACCACCAGGAAACAACGGCAGGACGGCACCTCCAGGAGAATCAATCATGGTTCCAGGTAAGGCCAACTTGGCCCAGATCCCCTGTGGGTCCCTAATAGAGGCTGAGGAGAGGCTGCTTAGGGCGGGTGGACCACCAGTTCCTGGCCTCCTACATCCCATTTTCCTCAGCAGGTTTTATGTGAGTCTCTGATAAAGTTTGCAGGGGAAGGAGGAGGCCTCGGGGTCATCTGGGAATAGTAGAGACAAAGAGAGTGCTGGGGACATGATCTCCAATGTCAGAGCCCTCTTTGTCACTCAGCACCTGGCTCTCAGCCCAAGAGCATCTTGTACATGGTTCAGGGCATCAAAACCTCAAGTGCCATATACATATTTCTTGCTTAGAATTTTCCAAGAGGATAAAGCAGGTCATAATACTTAGACTAATCCAAGAAACAATCAAAACTTGGGCTCCTGATTGCCATTTGAAGCAGCTGACATAAAGTGAGACTGAGTTAGGAACACCAGGCTGGCCTTCCACCCGGCGAGTGCTCACAGCTTTGGTGACCTTCTCTCCATGTCCAGCGGCCCCACCTAGTCCTGGCTTCTCCACCCACAGCCCCTGCATCTCTCTCCATTCTCTTCCTTACACGTGACTTCCTCTGTTCTTTCGGGCTATTCCCAAGCTTTTCTGTTTTCTTCCTGAAGGGAAGGGAAAGCATTTTCAGAGAGAGAGCTCAAGGTTTCATCTGTGGTCTGCCACCTGCCAGCTGTACAGCCGCATGCAAAGCCTTCAGTGCCTCTCCTGGCCCCGGGTGACTTCCACAAGATGGAGCAGGAAGCCTGCGTGCTCCACTTGGGGTTATCAGCATATGTCAAAGGCTCAAATGAGACAGACAATGGTCTCAAACCGTAATGGAGAGTCACACGGTGAACACTAGAAAATTGCAGATTTGTAAGCTCGAGCTCCCCCAAAATCTGATTCAGGGTGAAGATGTGCTATGAATTTCAGGTGGAGAAACACCATCTTTGAAACTCAGCAATGCACCCTGGGGTCAGTCAGGAAGCAAAGCTGATCCCAACTGCACTGCTTCCGACCTCTCGAGAAGGGCTTTGAACGATGCCCTTGAAACCAGTTTCCGTGATGTGCCCGGAGCAGAGGGGAAGCCTCGGCTGCACTTACAGAGCCATCTCTGTAGGAATTTACACAGTCACCCCACTTTCTTCACCATTCCTTCCCTCTACATCAACACCTAAATTCATCAATGTGCAAATCCACAGAAATGAAGCAGCATAAAGAAAACTGAAGAGCCCACAACAATTCTTAGCTGCTCCCTCTGCTGAGGAGATAGTGTGACACTGGCCTCTCTCCATGGCCACTTGGGTAAGGATGTTTCCCCACCTCCCTGAAGGGTTATGCCAGCATCCTTGCCAGGTGACATCTGGGTGACATCCCTCCCAGAGCCACTCACACAGAGTTGAACACCGCCCACTTGCACCAGAACAAGCTCTGGGGCTCACCTGGGAGCCCTGACAAATGGTTCCGGGGGAGCTTGGAAAGCCCCTGAGTCAGTGGGTCACTCCTGCAGAGGGAACCAAGCTGGGGACCCCAGGGCACCCATGAGCCCCATTCATGGAGGAGCTGGTGGGGGCAGGGCCCCTCCCCTCTTCTCTCCTCCCTTAGGCTCCAGTGTGGGAAGCAAGGAGCACCGTCCACCCGTCTAGTGGCACACATAGCCCTATGAGGCCACCCACCACCTCACGGGCTACCTGCTTTCCACAGAGCACATAGCTGTCACCCGGTGACAAGCACTTTCTCTGCCCAAGCTGATCTATCTCTGAGTCTAGTAGTCCCTGTGTGGCCAAGGCTGTGTGACTGGGTTCCTCTGAATCTTGTTCACTTTATATATGAAATGAGGATAATATTTAGAACTGACCTCCCAGGATTTGGTGATAATCTCTAAGAAAATAATATCTATCCCCAGCCTCCCCTATGATTAGTATAACTCCCCAAGCCCACTGGGAAAAGGCAAGACTAAAGGGTCAGTCCATTCATAGAATCATTTTAAAGTTGAAACAGATCTCAGAAGCCATCTGGCCCAAGCATCCCTTTAATTTGGGAATCCTGTTGCATGGGCCACCAATCCACTGCCTTCAGGGACCAGGGGGGTGACAAATGTGCAGAACAGCTAAGACTGTACAGGAGGAAGAACTGAAGAGAACTAGAGAGTGTGCTCTGCCCAAAGGACTGTGCATGTAGTCACTGTCAAACATTATGCTGGGGTGCATAGATCATACATAAAGCTGGCAGCCTCCGCGCAGGGTGAGGGCCGTGAGCTTGTGGCATGTGCTCTGTGGGCCCACCAGGGCCTACCCTCAGCCTGTCCCTGGGCCAGCAACAATTGTGAGGGTAGGAATGCTCTTGGGGGTTAGAGGTGGGGTTTAGGCTCCACCTCTGTCACTGAGGAGCTGAGGACCTGGCAGGCACCTGATATGCAGGGGGCTGGCTTTCTCACCTGTGGACAGGAACCTGCGTCTGCTGCCCCTGTCAGTGCCTATGAGGGACACAGTGATGGCAGCTCTTTCTGCCCAGGGGCAGGCACATCCCTGGTCTGAGCTGCGCTGCCTGGTGCATCACATTTCTCTTGCCCCTCCACACACTCACACACAGTCACTGTCACCTTTCTCAGCCGTGCGGCCCCTGTACCGGAGCGGATGGCGTCCATCAGGGCTTGCCTGGCATCCACCGGGCTGCCCAGGGTGCCTGTGCTGAACCTGGAAGCTGTCTTCGATGTGGAGAGAGTCTGGGAAGCCAGCGGGGGAGGGGGTGGCAGGGCTGGCGGGGGCGGGAGGCCAAGGTCTTGCCGAGGATCTTCCAAGCCCTGTGGAGACAGCGCAGCATCCCGGAAGCTCTGGAGCTCCTCAGAGACGGAGGAGGACACCTGGTGATGAGAAAGTTAAGTGACTGCCGTAGAGTGACTGCCTGTGTCCCCCAAATTCATGTTAAGTTCCTGTCTCCCAAAATGATGGCATCCGGAGGTGGGGTCTTAACGGAGGTGATTAGGCCATAAGGGTGGGGCCCTCATGATGGGAGTAAGGTCCTGATCAAAGGGACCCCAGAGAGCTCCCTGCCCCTCCCACCACGTGAAGACACAGTGAGAAAGCGGCACCTGTGAACCTGGAAGCGGTCTCATCAGACACTGAATCTGCCATGCCTTGATCTTGGACTTCCAGCCTCTAGACCATGAGCAATAAATGTTGTTTAGGCCACCCAGTCTATGATACTGTGTTATAGCAGCCTGAGCGGACTCAGACAGTGACAGTGTCTACAAAGGTCCTTTCCAGGAGGGCAGCACACAGCTGGTATCTTACCCCTAGACCTGGAACAGCTCGTCTGCAGTAGGCCCAGGAAGTCTGCCTGCTCTACGGCTGAGATATCAGCCCCTGTGCCCTGCCAGCTGCCAAGTGGCTGACCTCAGGGACCAGGATCTGGCAGTTGTGCCTTACTGGATATTCTGATCTTGTCACTTTTCTTGGCATATGAAGACAGAAATAGAGGCTGACCACACCCCAGTGTGACCAACTTTTGGGGATAGGACACACACTCGAAACTCAATGAGTACTGATCTTGTCACTTTTCTTGGCATATGAAGACAGAAATAGAGGGTGACCACACCCCAGTGTGACCAACTTTTGGGGATAGGACACACACTCGAAACTCAATGAGTAATGTACAGGTCAAGCTGTTCCTCAAACTCTGAGTGTGGAAGTCACGATGACACCATTCTGCCCTATACTCAAGTCCATATTGGCTGCTGAGGTTGTGCAAAAGCTACATTCCTGCAGTGACTTTCTTCCAGGAGGTGTGCAGTTGCTTCAGTCCTGGTTGCCTGGCTCTCTGAGATCTGAAGCCATGCTGGGTGTCCCAGAGAATATGGAAAATTGCTCAGTTCTAGGTGCTGGAAGGAATCATGCCTCCAGAAAAGGGTGGGAGAGTTTCTGGGAGCTCTGCTGCTTCCAGTGCAGTGGGGCACCCACTCCATAACGCCAATACCCCGTGTGGGTTGGGTCAGCCATCCCCTGAGAACAACAGAAGCTTTTGCAGTGTCCACCCAGCTCGCTGGGGAAAGGGAGTGGGTGTTTGAACCCACAGGCTATGAAAGGCCCTCTCCTCTTACCTTCTTCAGGCTGCAGGCCCCGCTGTGCCCTCGGATGGCCGCGAGTAGGGCAGATCGCTCACTCCCTGACTCCGTGTAGGACGGTTTCTTTGGTCCTGCCTCCAAGACGTGTTCTGAAGTCTAGAACATGAACAGTGTCAACACATTTCACTCAAAAGAGGGAGAAATGCTAACTGGAAGGCAGCTCAGAAGAAAACCGACCCCTACTACTGAGGCCTGGGGGATGGATCTGCAGCCACTCTCTGTGGGAAAGTGTGTATAAGATGAAAGGTCACATATTCAGGGTAGCATCGAACAATCACCCCGATGTTGCATCACTCCTGTTATTCACCCAGCTCTCCACAGTGATATGTGCACTTAAGTCTCCCAGACCTGGATGGGAATCTTGGGTCCCCCCTCGTCAGTGTGTGACCTTGGGCCAGGCCACTTAGCCTCACTGTGCCTCAGTTTCCTCATCTGCAAAATGGAGGAAGTAACTCCTATTAATCAGTGCTGGTTTCCAAAGAAATGAGGTAATATTTGTAATGTGTTAAATGCCTGGATAAAAAGGGAGCCTGTCAGACGACTGTTCCCGTTGTTACTGAAGAACGACAGTCTATTGCTCTGCAAATACACAAGTTAAAGAAAGAAGTGGCCTTGCCTGTTTTTTATTTACCCATTCCATTGTTCAAGGACCAGGTATGGGCAGACCCATGCCCCCAGCCTCTTCACTCCTCTGGCCCAGGGTAGACTTTTATTGGCTGACGTCTTTCCCACAGGGCAGTCAGGGGCCTGAAGTCAGTGTGCACAAGCCTAACACCCAGCCATTTCAGCCTCTTTAGTGGTTCTATTCAAATATCCTGGGGGAAGTGAGACAGAATTTCTAGTTAAAATGAAACCTGTGCATTAGACCTCGCTGTTATCCTTGTCCTGTCTCTCTCACCTTCAGTCCTATTCTAGGAATCTAACAATAGGACACCCAAGTGGACAGGTGGGGAAGGTCTCTCTAGGTCTTGCTGTGCCTATCCCCTAAAGGCAGCCATATTCACCTTGCGAAGGCTGTCCTTCCCTCCTGCAGAGTGGATGGCTTCCATCAGGGCAGAGTGCAGAGATGTGTCTTTTGGGGGTGGCCTCTGGACAACAGGTTTGAATTTTTTCTTTGGCCCAAAAATGCTGGGTGGCAAAGTACCATCTGTTTCATGTACATCTGTAGATACCAAATTGGGCTTTTCCTCCCTTTCCAGGATGATGTGGCTACTAGCACTGAATACTTTTGGAGAGTGAAGAGGCTCACGGCTGGCAGGCACCCGCTGAGAGCTGTTTGCCAGCACCCTGCCGGGGGTCCGAGCATCTGCCGCACATGGAAGGGGAGGGTTTGTGCGGTCCAGTGTGCATTTGGGGTTGGATGCTGAGCTGGACCTTTGATTACTTGTGCTTTGCTTTCCACTGAAACCACAGCTCTGCCCCACAGAAACATGATCCCTCTGAGAAGATGTGACTAGTGGAAAACAGGAGCTTTTGTGGACACCAGCTGGACCAGCTTGAGTGGATGACTTTCCAAATGGGCGGCTGACTTCTCCTCCAGGACGGGCTCCCGCTGCTAATTCTTTGTGATTATTGTTGGGAGGGCTGATGCAGGGCCACTTTGTGCCATCCCTGCGTCCTTGTGCCTCTGAGTCCAGGCTGGGGGTTGTGCCGTCTTTCCCAGTGACAGGCTGTCCGGTCAGTGCTGGTGCTCGGCCCTCGTGGCCCTTGGCAGCATTACTGTGCTTCTCCACCACGTTGGCGTGGACTTTGGGGGTCCCTATCCGCTTGGCAATAGCAGAGGCCACATACTGACTGGATGTTCTTCTCTGAGGCTTGAGAAATGTGACTTCCGTGGTGTTGGCTGCTGGCATTGCCATGTGACAAGCAATGGCCATGGGTGGCTGGCGTCTCCCCTCTTCTTGGTGGTTGGGCTGCTGGGGTGGGGTCGGTTTGGGGCCTGCTTGGAGCCTGCTTTCCTGGGGCTGCGGCTGGGCTGGTGTGGTGGTACAGGCAGGCCTCGGGGCTGGGGACTCTGCGGGCCAGCCCCAGGGTTTCTCCATCGAGTTGCACCTCCAGAACTCTTTGGCTTTTCCAGTGGGTTGAGCTTCTGTGTCAACAAGGGACGACGACAGGGATATGGTCCTGTGGCAGTTCACGTGAGGACTCACCAGATTCCCCAGCTCATCGATCTTGATGGCGCCCGTGGAGAGGGACACATCTCGGTCGTAACACCTCATCTCTGATTTTGGAGGAACAATTTTGTATGTTGTGAGGCCATGCTTGAGTCCATAACTTGGCCCTGTGTTCTGGCCTCGCTGGCACCACGACGGTGCTACCCAGGTGGCGCTTTTATTGTTGCCCACCTGGCCATTCATTGGCTGGGGACGCACTGTCTTGGTGGCCCGTGTCCTCTCACTGTCAGCAGGGCTGTGCTCCTTGCCTTTCTCCTTTGCATTCTGGTCATCCATGTGAGGTTTCAAGGCAGAAGTCACCTGGGGCCCCCTTTCAATGGAGTTCCCATTTTTACAGGTGTTGGATAAAGCCAACAGCATTCCTTTTCCAGTGCCAGGGGAAGGAGGGTTCGGGTCAGGCACTTCCTCCCTGGTGGTCACGTGTTGTTGCTGGCTGTGCTCCTGAAATGGCTGTGCTTGGGCTCTCCTGCCAACAGCACCCTTGGTGTCAAACGAACCAGCGTTGTTGTTTCTATTGGAAAACAACCCCTCATCAGCAGGATCGTCTGAAACCTCCCCGATGAACGTGACTGGGATTGCAGCAGCATCACTGTCAGGGGCAACGTTGTCTTGGGTGCAGTGGTTGGACACGCCGTGCAGGGAGGTGGTCAGAGAGCTGGTATCTGTTTCATAACTCTCTTCCATTTCTGCAAAGAACAAGCACAAGTCACCGACAGGCACCATGTGTGTGATTCCCACGCCTAGTGTAATGGCCGTTGTGACTGATTTCCCCGAGGTTACGCTGGTGTAAGCTATTTACATACATTTGTAAATGTTATTTCCGTTTCTAATCGACACATGCCTGGGGCCAGAATCTCCACTCTCATAATTCAACACAAGAACTGTTTGCAGATACAGTATGTTTCAAGATAAGATATTCAGTTACATTTTGTCAACATCCTTTATTTAAAAGGTAGATTTCTAAATCCAAGCCTCTGAAAAAACTGTCTCAACACAGGAACAGTGAATTTTGGGTTTTGACCTCCATATCTGTCACATCCCCCAGAAGCTATTTAAAAGGTAGATTTCTAAATCCAAGCCTCTGAAAAAACTCTCAACACAGGAACAGTGAATTTTGGGTTTTGACCTCCATATCTGTCACATCCCCCAGAAGAATAATAAAATATAGAGGACAACTTGCTCCAGTTTTAGCGGATGCCTGTCTGTAGTACCTCAGAATTTTCATGACTCTTCAAAGCACTAAGCAACGTAGTGGCCAGGGCCCGTGGACACAGGATGACTGACTGATTCAGATTTTACAGCTCTGTCAACCATATATTCTGAGGACAGAAAACTAAAAAGCGAGTCAGACAAGACTACTGATCAGTTTTGTAGCCTGCTTCCTTCTTGTTTTTGTTTTGTTTTAAGGCATGCCCAATATCTGATTTCTATTTTATGAGGGTACTTCAAAAAGTTCGTGGGAAAATAGAATTAAAAGGTAATACAAATCTTTCCATGAACTTTTTGAAGTACCCCTGCATTTTCAATATGTGCCTTGCAGAACATAGCCTAGCTCCTTTGTTTGAAAGATTCTCTAGGTGTTTACTGAAATCATTTGCATCTGCTTTGGCTTTATCCTCTTATTTCCTAAAAACGTGTTAATGGAATAGCAGCGCCATGAGCTGCTCCATTGCTAATGGGTTCACTGTGGTCAAAGGTTGTATGTTTCTCGTTGAGAGATATGCCGTAGACTAGCAAGTAAAGAGTTGGAAGTCTTTATGAAGAAACCTGTTTATCTTTGTGCCACCTAGTGTTTCCCTAACTCACTTGTGTACTCTAGACATCTTTTTTTCTTTAATATGTGTGGAATACTTTTTAATGTGCAAAATTAGTATTACTCAGAGCACACTGTAAGCAGCCATTTGGGTGTTTCCAGGGTACTTCTTGGCAGCTCAGATGAAAAGCAGTCCACCCAGAGCTGTGCTCACCAGAGAGCATGGCACGCAAATGCAGGCTTTCTCCAAACAGAGCTGCAATTCCTTCTGAAGACCTTTTCCTCACACAGTTACACAAAGGTGTGCTCAGAAAAGTAATCTCCAGCATCTACCGTCACACAGTACAATGTAAAAGCAGCAGGTTGAGTGGTTCTTACCTTCCAGGTCTGCATCAAGTTCTGCAAGGGTTTTATGGAACTGTCCAGCAATGAATGGGTCTTCATCATCATTTGTGATTGTGGCAGTTTTTTCAGTTCTAGGGAAGACCAAAGAGAGAGGAAGAACACTCATTTCTTTTACTATGGATTTAAAATACTCCTTTCCAGAACTATCTGAGGACAGGACAGCTCATATTCAAATTCAACCAGTCACATACTCACTAGACCACTGCTGTCCTCAGAACTACTGAGACACAGATTGTGTGTATGTGTGTGCATGTGTGTGTGGTATATGCATGTGGGGTGTGTGTGTGTGTGTGGCCCCAAAGTGTTAGCAACACCCAACTCACACATGTCTCTCATTCACTCTGCAGACCAAAGACTAGATTCTAATTCTTCTGCAAAAAGACAAGTTCCTGTGCAACCAGGATTTGCTTGCACATCTAGGATGCACTACAGCGGTCACTTGATACCTGAAAGGAGAAAGCTCCTAGCAGCATGGGGCCTGCTGGTGTGTCTCTACCAGAGCATGCAGCCTTCATGTGCCAGGCACTGAACAGAGCTCTGATGTACAAGTTACCTTCTTATAATTCTCACAAGGAAGTTATAAGGTAGATACTGCTGTCACTCCCATCACATAGATAGGAAGCTGTACACTGGCTCCAAAGTCTGGACAGAACTGGCCTTGCTAACCAGGGGGCCAAGAGGTACAACATGGCTCCCTGTGGCATGAGGTGGCCAGGAAGATGTCTACCCACCTGTGCGGGAGAACTGGATCTTGCCTTATTTGTGTCACGGGGACAAAGGCATCCATGAGACAGCTGATGCCAAAACAATTTGAAAACAATCTTTGCCAGGGCTCTTGTCTCTATTTTCCTATTGTGCAGAAAACACAGAGACATGTCCATGGCAATTGTATATCTTCAGTGAAAACTGAAGGTTTCTTTCTGCTGATTGTTAAAATTAATGACCAATTTCCATCATTGCTAATCAGGCCCAGATAATGATGCGTGAAATGTGCTTTGCATAATCCTCACTTAATAGCAAAGTTTTTATTCTGATAAATGAGTCTTTCTTACTTGGTGACTATGTCCATTCGGAAGCCAGGAAGTGGCTTCCAGATGAGTCTCAGCTAATGTCCTCTGACAAGCCAGACAAAGGGCGTTGGTAGGAGATGTTGGTGCATGTGGGCCAGTTAATAAGGACCACAAGATATTCTTTTTCTTTAGAAGTGTACTTGTTTTAGTTCGAAGCGGCTTGAGAAAAAACAATTTTTTTAATGAGCAAAATCTAAAAGAGTATTTTCGTCCTCTAGGCATTCTTTTTCTTTAGAAGTGTACTTGTTTTAGTTCGAAGAGGCTTGAGAAAAAACAATTTTTTTAATGAGCAAAATCTAAAAGAGTATTTTCGTCCTCTAGGTAACGATAATTCTTTTTTGCAAAGGAGTTCCCATTTTTCTCGCACGGCATGTACAGTATGCACAACTTTCTGCTACTGCGTGCCTGACACACCCAGTGTGCAGCTGTGAGCCTGACCCCTGTGCCCGAGAGGCCACGGCAAGGCCTGAGCTGTCTCAGCCCTTCCAGGTCTTCCTTCCCCAGGCTCCGGCCTCCGCTGCCCTGTAAAGAATAGCAGTGGCCAAGGCCCAGGGGCTCTGGGCTCCTGAGCTGCTCCCAGCCCCAGTCCAAGCCATCTTGCTGAAGTCTGGGGGCCCTGTGCTCATCTAGTCCCTGGTACCTGTTTTCTTCTCCCCTGCTCAGTCCCTTACCCCCATTTGCCTCACCCAAATCTCACAGGTTTGCCCCGATGCTGTCACCCCGTTCCAAGCTCTGCTGGCATGTCCCATCTCCCCTCTGCCTGGCCTTGCTCCCTGTTCCTAGGAGCCCTGTTTGTCCAGGAGGAGAGAGTGGATACGTGCTAGCAGCCACCATCCTTGGGTACACTGTGGGGTGAGGGAGGGTCTGACTGTGGCAGCCCAGGTCCTTGTTTGGCATCTCTCATGAGGCTGCTGAGCCCCCAACATGGCTGAGGGAGGGGAGAGGTGTGGCCTGTGAACCGCTTCTACAGCTTCAGCTTCTCTGGATGCAGTCCATGGGCTATTGTGTTCTGTGCCCTGGGCATCTGTGTGAAGGGGTATCTAGCAAAAGCCAGTGGTGATGCATCTATCTTGCTTTCCAGCATAAGACTTCAGATTTGATTTTCCTTCCTTGTCCATTCCCATCTATGTCTCCCCAAAGGGTTACGAATGGGTTATAACCATTCCTCTCCCTTTGCAAAACCACCAGGTTTGTGCATCTCATCAGTGTGCATGGAGGGCAGCTCCCTGTGGGCTTAGCAGGAGAGCTCTAGGTATGTGTCCCTGAACAGCTCATAGTCAGCAAGAAGTGTCACCTTCTGTTGGCATAAAGCAAACGTGCACAGATGTTTTTCTCCCCAGCTTCATTCCCCCACCCCCAATGTACACCCAATTTTTAGACATGTTTCTTATTGACAGTTTGTTCTGGCTTAAGACTAAGTAAATAAAAAGCAAACAAACACAGGGCAGACATTTAGATATCAGGCTGCACATGGGGAATTAACATTACCAGAGTTATTTTCTCACGCAGAGGTGATGACGCAGCAGAGAACTTGATAATGTTTAAGCCACAGCTGCATACAACATAGGGGACAAAGAACAGAGCAGGGGAGCTTCAAACCAGTTTGTCCTGGAAGTGGAACTGCATCCTGGAGCAACAGGGAGACAAGTGGAGAGGCAGTGGCGGGGGCGCCCAGCTGAGTGTGTGCAGGGTCCGCCCGGCCTCAGCACTAGCTCTCTGGCTCCTGCAAAACAAGAACTAGGAGCGGTCATGTCCAATTGGCGCCAGGAGAAAAAGGGGCTTTTTGGTTTTTTGTTTTCATTTGCTTTGAGAAAGAAAAGGAGAAGGGGATGATTCTGACTGATCTGAAATTTATAAGATGTATTCACAGCACATTAGGTCATTTTTCTGATCTTAGAGTTTAAGTAATTTGTACAATGGCAGGATTAATAATAAAAATAAACTCTGAGAGGGAGGTCATTTTCAGGGAGCAATTCAATTTGCTAATGACAACCAAACCAACCCCAAGTGATTTCAAAATTATTCCTCAATAAACTAAGGGCAAGATGCCTGGGAAAATCTACAGTTGATAACAGTCGTGTATGCTTAATGTCCTCATTCCATTTGAAACTGTTCCTGTATTTACAAAGGCTTGGAGGTCTGCAACGATGGTGTTCAATATAATATGAGCCATATATACAATTTAAAATCTTCCTGTAGCCACATTAAAAAAGTGAAAAGAAATAGCTGAAATTAATATTAACTAAACAATCTCATTTAACTGTTCCCACATATAATTAATATAAAAAATTCTTTTTGTACCAGATTTGGTACATATTTTACATTTAACAACTGGGACCAGCCACTTGACAAAATGGCAAGTGGCTACAGGACTGGACCATGTGGATCTCCCAGGTTTAAAATGTGTTTTAAATGCTCCTTTATAAATGTAGTTATGGGCCAGCCCCAGTGGCGCACTCGGGAGAGTGCAGCGCTGGGAGCGCAGCGATGCTCCTGCCGCAGGTTCGGATCCTATATAGGAATGGCTGGTGCACTCACTGGCTGAGCGCGGTGTGGGCGACACCACACCAAGGGTTGCGATCCCCTTACCGGTCACGAAAAAGACAAAAAATAAAAAATAAAATAAATAAATAAATGTAGTTATAAAGTTTCAAGGTTCTGGAAGGGGTCCAGCATTTTATTGTAACATGGTTGATTGTACATATCTGTGGGATTGAATATCATTACTGTGTGCAATATGTGATGCTCAAGTTAGCATAATTAGGATATTGTACATTATACTATGTAATCATTTTCTGTGGCCCTTTACCAATTCCTCCCTTACCCTGCCACACTTCCCCCTTTCCTGGTATCCACAGTTCTGTTCTCTTCTTTTGAAAGTTCAACCTATTATTGTGTTTGTTGTATCTTTCTTTCTTTGTTCAGTTTTTAGCTCCCACTTATGAGTGACGACATGTGGTATTTCTCTTTCTGTGCTTGGCTTATTTTACTTAAGATGATTTTCTCTGAGGTCATCCATGTTGCTGTTAATGGCAGAATTCTGATCTTTTTTTATGTCAGAGTAGTATTCCATTGTGTAGATATACCACATTATCCTCAAACAATCATCTGATGATGGACATTTAGGTTGGTTCCAACTCCTGGCTATTGTAAATGGAGCTGTGATGAACATGGGAGTGCAGGTATCCCTTGGACGTGATGACTTCCATTCCTGTGGATGTACACCCAGCAGTAAGACAGCTGGATCATAATGGCAGTTCTATCTGTACTTGCTTGAGGAACTGCCATACCATTTTCTATAATGGGTGCATCAATTTACAGTGCAAACTAACAGTGCAGGAGGGTTCCCATTTCTCTATATCCTCACCAGCACTTGTTATATATTTATTCATTTATTTTATAATAGCCAGTCTACATGGGATGAGACAATATCTCAGTATAGTTTTGATCTGCATTTCTCTGCTGCCAACAGTGAGCATTTTTTTTTCATGTATCTGTTGGCCATTTCTATGTCTTCCTTTGAGACAGGTCTGTTCAGCTCCTTTAACGTTTTTTAATAGGTTTTTTTTTTCCTCTTAAGTTGTTTGAATTTCTTATATATTCTGGATATTAATCCTTTGTTGGGTACATAATTTGGGAGTATTTTATCTCACTCTTTAGGTTGTGTTTTTGCTCTGTTAATTGTTTCTTTTGCTGTGCAGAAGCTTTTTAGTTTTCTTTAATCTCATCAGTTTATTTTTTCTTTTGTTGCCTGTGCTTTTGGGGTCTTATCCCTAAAGTCTTTACCAGTCCTACTTCTTGAAGTGTTTCCTCTATGTTTCTTCTAGGAGTATTATAGTTTCAGGTCTTATTTGTAAGTCTTTAACCCATTTTAAGTTGATTTTGGTGTAAGGCAAGAGGTACAAGTCTAGTTTCATTCTTCTATGTATGGATGTCCAGTTTTCCCAGCACCATTTATTAAACAGGAACTCTTTCTCCCAATGTATGTTCTTGGTGACTTT